GGGGGGGGGGTGCTACGGAGACTTGCCGAGGTTTGGGGACAGACAGAGATGGAGCGGTAGGAGGTACTGTGAGAGCGTGTCGCGCTGTACAAGAGGAAGATTGGTCTTCGTCTACTGTTTGCGTAGCGTAGCAGCAACAGTCGCTGTAGGCGTCGTCCCCTGTTGGAGTGCGTAGCGTCAGCAGCAGTCGCTGTAGGCAGCTCGGGCCGTCGGGAGGGTGTGCGTGCAAAGCGTTTGGTGTAGGTCATCCGTGTTGCTCCAATGAAAGCAGCAAGCAGACGGGGACAGATGCAACAACAACATGGCCACTTGACGAAGGACGAAGGAAGGCGGCACTGACAGGTGGTTAGCTTGTTGATAGGGTGTTGTTGTGCGTTCTCTCTCAAGAACAGATATGAGCGCACGATTTCTAGCAGTGCCAATTGGCGGAACGGGGCTGGTTGTGCGAATTCATAGCATGGAACACTGGTTTTGTGACGAAGCAATGGAAGAAGTAGGAAGGGCGCCGAACTGACAAGAGTCCCTGAGGCTCTTGCGCTGCCTTTCTCACTGGCCGGCCGACATTCACCGCCGTGTCTACTTCCTGTTGTAGCAAACGATATACCTGACACACACACAAGCGCGAAGCACGCGGATCTTCTCCCGTCGATCTTGAGGGGATGTCTCCGCTGGCCCTTTGTGGTTGTACTCCAAGATGTGCCACACTCGGATGGGTTGCTCGAAAGGGATCAGATGAATCGGCCTCAACATAGTAACATCTAACAGCATGCGCCAGGGTACGAGAAATCGTCAATACCCGTCCTCTCCGTCAAGACGAACCAGCTAAAAAACGAGTCTACAATGGCCCACGGCAAACGGAGACACAAAAACAACCGGCGGTTTTGACACGGCCACATATTTCCAGCTCTTACCCTATAACGGTAGACGGGAGTCCGCCCTCTTTTATGGATATGCAAGTGCCGAAACGCTTGCATTGTTAAAATACCCGAGAAGTACAGCAGTGTCGACGCAACACCAAACTAAACAAAAAAAATCCAAGCAAGTACTGCGATCGGGCTTTGCAGAGAAACGTAAAAACGTCGCGCGAGTGTGTAGATCGCGCTTCGACACAATTACTACTTACTGTGGACACAACAGAGAAACGCAAACATTCAACGCCTTCTCGTCCGCCAAGCGCGGTCGAATTTGTACGACAACGAAATTCACAAGACAGCAGCGGCGGGAGCGGGAGATGGTTCTTCTGGGTGCGCGAGGAAAACGTCCCTGCGTGCTTGTTGCCGCCGCAAAAAAAAAAAAAAAAGG